TAAGTTTACAAACATAAAGTAAAAAGAAAAAAGATAAACTGATATATAACTCAAGCCCCCAATCCTACAAAGGGATCCATGTAAGATGATTATTATTCTACTTGTGTGGACTCTCTAAAGGATGGGAGCCTAAAAAAGATACTCTTCGTCTATTTAACCAGATCACAAAGTACAACATACTTTATCACAAAGAAAACAAATTATCACATACTTTAAGGTATGCTGTATAATATGTAAAGAGAGGAAATGAGAAAAAATAATGTCATCCTAGGCAAGAAGAGCTAAGCTCTAATGTAAGAAACAAAATAATATCTTATTTTCAAGAAAAACAAGTTTGAAAAAAAATAACCCAAAAGTTTTGAGTTGCTAAATGCCTATCTGCCAACATCTGACACATATAAATATAGCTATATGAGGAGAAAAATGAGGATACACCTTTTAGCTCCAGGAAATATGCTGGACTAGAAGATTTTTTTGATGGAAGAATGGAAAAATGGTAAATATTTACTAAAAATAAATAAATAAATGATTAACCCTATTAAGGTTCAATTTCAGGAAAGGACATAACATGCTGAACATACATGCTCAACTTTGACATCAATGGGACTTAAGCATGTACTTAAAATTAAGCACATTCTTAAATGTTTTGCTGAATTAGATCCTAAATAGGAAAGGTTAGCATGTAGGAGGAATATGGAAATGACAAAAAAATCACAAGGCTTTCTGTTGCTAAAGAATAGAGGTAGGAAACCTATCACTGTAAGAGAGAAAATGAAAAAAGTTATATTGAAAAAGCTGAAGAAAATACGAAGTGCACAGCTTGGAAAACTGCAAAAGAGCAGATAACAGATTTTTCAACACAAAAACAATATTTTTCAATATGAAAACATGTGCAAATGTTCATTTTCCCCTTATGTGCATAAAAATACACAAATAAGAAATATAAAACAAGAATGTTTAGAGAGAAAGGGAATGTGCTAACTTCCCAAATTTTTTTAACCTTCTTTAAAATTGCCATTGTTTACATTTTATCAAACTTTGTTTTCAGGAATTTGTTTAAACTCCATATAATGTGCTAGACTCTAATCTGAGATTCCAAGAAAACAGATTTTTGTAAAGATAAACAACAATTAATATCACTTATAACAACATCCATAATATAGTAATCATTCCTTAATATATTTGATAACACGAATAACTCAAATTAATTACTACTAACACATAGATGTGTGATACCTTGTTTTGGTAAAGGAAGATTTCCCAACATTAATGGCATGTAGAAATAAAGTATGGGAAATCCTTCCCACAGAAAAAATTACAGACCGCCTTACATCAGCATCAAATAGTTTTTAATGCATATACTATTTGTGGAATCTGAACAAAATAAATATACAGATAATGATAAGAGGTTGACCAAACACAAATTGGTCTTTTAAAGGGAACAGGTGCAGGTTATTGTTAAGATCTGTTAGTACTTGTATAGATAATTCGTGTATGTTAATAATGACAACATTAATTTTTTTTAAATATATCATTTATTTAAAATCTATTGCGTGGCAACATGAACTCTAATATACATTCACAAGCCTGATAAATGTTTTCAGCAAGTGGAGCTGAGATGTATTATCTCTTGATTCCTTGGTGGTCAGGGCTAGAAAAACTTACCAGACACCTGACAATCAGAAAACTAAACCTACTAGTCAAGAGGTAGATATGAAAGATAAGAGTGTTGGGACTCCACCCCTGAAGTTTAGGGGCAATGTTCTGGCAAGAATGACAGCTCCTCTGCCATCAGCTGCTAGGAAAAACAAGGGTACTGAGATTTCTACTAGAATGCTGTTCCTGGACTATGTTTGGAGACTCTTTATCTTTTATACTAGTAGCTAGTTAGTAGACATCTTATAAATTTGAAGGTCCGCCCCCACATAACTGCTGAAAAGGATAAAAAACATTCTATCTCTTCTCTCATCCGCTAGAACATTCTGGCTGCTACCAGGGTATTTAGGTCTCCACTACTCTATCCCTCCCCAAGTCATCTGGTAGCTGTGAAAGGGTGAGGGAAGAGATCCCCATTCCCAGCTTCCATTTTCAGGTCCTCTTCCCCTGTAAATATCTTCAGTGTCTGCTTCTGCTACTGCTCACAATGTTCCAAGACAGCAGCAGCAAACGGACATTTCTGGCAGTTTCACCATTGCCTACAGGTTTCTGAATAGGAATGTGAAACTGATTAGACTTTCACTAATACTACTGCAGTTTGACAAATCTACAAGCAGAAGCAGAGGCACTAAAACTGTCTGCAGACTCAGGAAAGTGACACTACAGTTCACATTTGGTTCATGTTGGAAAAGTTATCTTTGTAACAATAAAAGCTATAAACTTAATTTATTTTTAAATGAAAATTTTGATTCTGCAGACATTAGTGGTGTAGATGCCCTCACTTGCTCAGGTAAGCCTGCCATTTGCCCAGGGTAAGTTGATTTTCCAAACTCTGTATATGACTATCCTTTGTGTATCTAACACAGAACTGCCCAAAGTGGTGTGGAGTGTGTAACTTTGTGCATCCTGCTAGTAACAACTGTGTCTGCCACCTTAAGGAGCACCCAATGGTACAGCACATCAGTGCCCAACTGCAACATGTGACTATGGTGGCACTGTAAGGTAGTGCCCACTACTAGTAACTAGGAGATAATTTATCCTTTCTGGTAGATTGTACCATCTGTTTTTCTTTCTTTTACCAGTATTTCTACTTTTACACCTCTACCCCAATATATATATATCTATATCTATAACACAACCCGATATAACACGAATTCGGATATAACGCAGTAAAGCAGTGCTCCTGGGGGGCGGGCGGGGCTGCGCACTCCGGCGGATCAAAGCAAGTTCGATATAATGCGGTTTCACCTATAACGCAGTAAGATTTTTTGGCTCCCAAGGACAGCGTTATATCGGAGTAGAGGTGTACTTTCTTCTGGTTCTCTTGATTTCTTCCTTTTTCTCTGGCTCCCTTTTTTCAACTCACTTTCACTTCCCCATTACTGCTCCTGTCACATACCTATTCCCTGCTTCTCTGTTCTTTGCAGGGGGAGAATTCGTCTTGCTTTCACATACACTTTCTTTAGACCTTCCCCCCTTCTTTGCCATCATTCACAAATAATACAGAACCTTCTTGTACAAGGGCAGCCAACTCCTGATCGCCCCCTTGTGGCCAGCAGAGGCTCTGCCATGGCCTGCTTCTGGTTTCCCTCTTCATGGCCCCTTAAGACTTCCACACAGTCTTTCTCACAGCTAACACCCCCTTCCTATCTCGGGTTGGTTAAATAATAGAGACAGTTCAAAACAGTCCTCAAGGTCCTCAAAATAAAATCCATTACCACAACCCAAAAGTTCACACTTAGCTCAGGCTCTTCTACCACACACCGAGCTCTTCTCCTTCCCCAGTCTGCTTTTCACAAAGCTGCCACTCCTGGCCCACTCTAGTGGAAGCTCAGCCTTCTGGATTTGGTTTTCTTCTCCTGTCAGCATTTCCCCAGTTTCTACGGAGAAGACAGCACATATACTGCTCTCCTTCAGAGAGCTCCTCGTGATTGGCTGGGAAAGAGGGGACCTTGCCCCATGCTACACAACAGAGCTCCTGCTCCTGGGCCCTTAAAAGGACAGTGTCCTGGGTTTCTCATCCCCATCCAACTACTAATTCCCCAGAACCACTTCCTCTCTTCCAGCTTCTGCCATTTCCTGAGACTTTGTTTATTCCAGTGTTTCTGGAATAGGGTTTTCTGGCCTTCCTCTAAGCTTAAAGGGCCAGTATACTCCATTACACTTCTGATTCCCATACTCTGTCACTTTCTATCCCTTTGCTGATTGAATGGGACCTCTTTCAAAACATTCTGCTGGCTGTCTGATAGCAGAAGGGAAATAAAGAATATCAGCATAGATGTGCAATGTTACAATATCACCACAGTTGCATAGGGAGAACGCCCACAGTGAGTTTCTGCTCATTTAAACATAAAAGCAGGAGTCTTGGTAGTGATTGTACCCACAATTGCAGGGAGAGCACTTCCTCCGCAATCCAGGTAAAGGTATTTGTAATCACTCTATGTGAACACAGTGGCATATGACATTGTAAGTATTATTATTATTTAAGCACTAAGAGTGTGATGGACACAATAAAAGATACAATTCCTGCTCCAAGGAGTTTACAGTTTAATCAGCATATCTGATGGAAGTCAATCAGAATTCCAGATTAGTTTAGTTTACTTAAACCAACTTTCACAAAGATACATACTGCAAGTGCACATTTATTAACATTCATGTATGCAAACCCAGAGAAAATAATTACATTAGTAAATGTTGATACCGTAGCTACACAAATACTAGTGTAATCAGTTTTTACAGAATTTTCTCTAAATTTCAGAAAGATTAAGAGAGATAGAGAGTGTGTGTCTAGAAGGAGAAATAGATGTAATATTTGTGAAAAGAGAAACAAATTCACATTTCTATATCTAGAAGCAATACTACTGTATCCCACATTTAGATGATAAATTATCCAGAGAATAATGAGACCCCTGGTAGATGTGCTGTATATGTTTTCTAACACTAAGCTAAATGAGGATTTCTTGGATACATAACTCAAATTTCCCAATTCACATTTTTACCCATAGTCCTTTTTTAATATTGACATATCAATAACTACTGGAAAATTCAACAATTTCAGTGTACTTAGAGTAAAAATTTCTGATCTTGTGACTCAATATCCACAAAATCTTAGTGCCATTAAGAAGGACATGTTTTGACAAAAGTAATATATAATTTGCCTAAAGTACTGCCAAGAAACATAATTAGAAAGGTGTGTATAAATTAAATTAACCACGAAGTCACAACTTTTTTTAGCACAATGTTAAAACTACTCTAAATAAAATATTTTAACATTTTAGTACTCTTATTTCATACCCTTTGGCACATAAAAGAAAACAAATCTGGGGGGAAAAAACAGGACTTACATTATCTTGGTAAGCAGGCTCCAGAATGCACCCTGAGGCGTCGCACTAGGGCCCTGATCATGCAACTGACTTCTCACAGGTAGAACCCATCCCCAGTGTGGAGCCTCATTGACTTTAATAGAGTCCCACCCACACACACAGTCAACTGCAGGATCTGGGCTTATGTGGAAATGACAATAATGAAAGCTCCTTCACACACCTGCAAAAATAAGTAGGGAGATTAAAAAAAATTAATTATTAATGTGCTCTTGTGTCTTCTCACAGCCTGTTTAAGTGTAGCATTTATGATTTTTTTTCATTTGCATGTCTGTTTTAGTATTTGTTTTTTATTTAATTCTTTTTTTTAAAACACTGGTTTGAAAAAAATCTTAAGGACATGCACATTAACTGATATACAGGACTGTCTCGTCTTACGCGGGGGTTCCGTTCCGCGGTTAGCACGTAAAGCGAAAACTGCGTATAGTCAAAATTCCATTGAGTTCAATGGCGGGCGGAATCGCCCGCACTACAGGTATAGTATTGAAATTGTTATTTTTCTCTTTTTTTGTTTTTGTTTTTGCCGACCGCGTAAAATTGAAATTGCGCATGTTGAATGCGCATAAGATGCGACAGACCTGTAATATTCATTAACATCCAGGGAGCTTTTACTGTTATATGGTACAAATATATGTTTAGACATATTTTAACACATTTTTTAATCATTGACGACTCTAGTTTCTTTGGTTTATTGTGGAAATACCTATTTAGGTTCTGAGCCTGGAAGCTGAACTATGCAGGCAGATCCCTGAGCCAGCCCCGGAGTCCCAAAGAAGTCAATGGGCTGCATGTTGGTGCAGGGGTCTGACTGTGTCAAGCAGCTTCTAAGATCAGGGCCTTAGAAAATATGTAATAAAAAATTGTCATGAAAATCAGTTTAGCACTAGCCACTTTTTAAAGTTAAATTTGTTGGCCTTTTTAAACAAAAATTCTTATGAAAACAAAGTATTGTTGATTATTTGCTAAAATTAAGCTTTTAAATCAAAGACGTTTAAGATACAAGAAGTGCAAAAAGTCATTTTAAACAAATAAACATATCTCATTCCCTGTTCACACAGAACTTACATTCAGTTTTTTTTTTTAAAGAACACTTCTAGGTTGAGTCCATTCAGGGAAACGTCAACAGTGATCATGTTCATATATATATAAACTACAAACTCTTTAAAAACAGGTTTGTAATGGACAAGGGACACTGTCAATAGCCATCATGAATCTAGCCTTCAAATTTGACACACTCCTAGAAACTTGCAGAGGGAAAGGTGTCTCCTCTTTTTAAACATGCACACAGATACAGAAGTAACTAATAACTAGAGAACTAGTTCTCAACAAAAAAAAAAGCTACAAGACTTAAGAAACCAGCTCATAAACTAGAAGCAAATATAAATACATTCATAATATAAACACAATTCTGTTGGAATCACAGATACCATACTATCTATCTGTTCCTCTGCTGGCTCTATTCTTGTGAGCAGACAAAAAAATTAAACTGACAAGAATCCTGTGTTCTACAGAGATCAGAGTCCAAAGTTATCAACTTTTTCTATTCCCTGCCATCTCTCCTGTGAATGAGCAATGAAGCAGATAAAATGTGTGCCCATTTTCACAATCCCAACAAATCCAGTGTCCTGGGTTTAAGGCAGTTTGGCTCCTATGTGGGACTTGAAGACTTGAAACTCTAGTTTTCACAGGTGGATAGGTTTTTCAGTTGGTGCAGGGAGGCAAATAAATAAAATTAAAATCTGCATTTCAGGGAGCATGTGCCAAATTTGAGACCAATCACTGTGATAGTGAGGAGTATTTTTTAATTCAGTAACATGTTATATGCAGAGCCCTGAGTATTCTGTGATTCCATGGCTGAGGAATTCATCCCTTTCTGCAGAATTGTGCTGCAGAATCTAAACTTTCATTTAAAAAAACTATGGGTGAAATCTTGGCCATATTTTTAATTGTTATGGTTATAGAGACAGCTTCCAAAACATCAAATGAATGTAAACTGATGCAATGTTTCCTGCCTGAATCTGCAAAGAACCTGAAACAATAGCTCTGAGAGGTGTGATGTGCCCTATTCCTTGCAGTCAGGGCCCCTTGGATTCTATGATTCTGCAGCCACAGAATTTGGCATTTTCCCAAGATGGCATGGAATTTGGTCTATTGCTGCAGACAGCCACCCAAAATGTTGTGGTCTGTCTCGTTGCCCTGCTGCCTGCAGTTACCTTTTGCTCTCCATCTTTCCTAAAAGAGGAGATTAAGTGGATTATAGTGCATGCTTCCTACACTGTTCCCTGGAGATAGGCAGCAGAGTGTGTCTAAGAGCTGAAGTCCAGTTTGCAGTTCAGTGAGTGGAGAAAGCCAAAAGTATAGCTTGGTGAGCTTGACAGAGTAGAGAACAGCACAGCAGCCAAGGCCTAGGGAGCCAGGTAAATGAGACACTGAAGCTGGCCACAAACCCTCCTTCTCTGACAGGGATGGAAAGAAGGTAGTTCTAAACCAGGCTGCTAAGAAAATACCATGGGAGTCAATGCCTAGGATTGGAGCTGGGCCATCTGAAAACCCTAGCAAAAAAATCCATCCTCAAAAATAATTGTAAAAAAAAATAATCGATCAATTTTACGTCAATTCATGTTTTCAATGATGAGCCACCCGTGTGTGTTTGTGGTATGACAGGGGGATTAGAATGAAAGGTATTACATACTGATAGAATACATTAATCCAGAGCCTTCGGGACTGTTTCCACAGAATTTGGTCCTTCTGTGCCGCAGAGTATACAGGGCCCTAATTATATGTCCCTTCATGAAGGTGCAAAATAACAGACGTGCAGTTCAGATTACCTTTTTTTGATATTCACCAAGACTGCAGTTAACAGGCAACAGGCCTATAGAATGCACTGCACTTCACCCCTTTCTCTGTAACTTCCTGCTTCTCTTCCACTCCCACTTAGCCTCTCCCCAGACCTAAAAAAGGTTCAGTGATACACATTCATTCAATTTTCAATGTGCACTAACTTTTTAAGAAGAAAATGGATATTAAACAACCACCAGAAATTCCTGTCACTGCATAGAACTAGCATTTAATTCTGTTATGTGAAATAACTTTTTATATCTTTTATGTCCTGCTTCGCCCTCTTACAGATTACACATGCATTGATATTCTTTTCCTCACTATTCTGCTGTAGCTGAACATTTTTGGCTTGTGTTTCTTTAGCAGAAGAGGCAGAGTTGAAATCAAAAGGTTCTATGGCAGTTAGATTTAGGCAACCAGTGAAAAAGGCACCAACTGAAAAAAGTGTAGTGGCAGCCACAAAACTCCCATAAAGGGAAGAAAGGCAGGGGATGGTCATTGAGGAAAGGTTAATAGGAAGCTGAGCGAAAGAGGAAAGGTTAGTAGGAAACAGGGTGTGTGAGAAGTGTCAGAGAAGTGAAAGTGAGTTAAAGAGAGAAAAAGGGATGGAACAAAAAAAGAAACAAAGGCCCTAATTCAGCAAAGCATTTGAGGCAGAATTTTCAAAAGCACCCAGTACTGACCTAACTCTGCACCCATTGAAGTGAAAGAGAGAGGTCAATTCTGAGAGCTTTTGAAAATCCCACCCTTAAGCATGTGCTTAATTTTAAGCTCATAAATAATTCCACCCCTATGCTTAAGTCCCACTGAAGCCAGTGTGACTTGACCACAGGCTTAAGTGCTTTGCTGAAGCAGGATGTGATTACTTATGTGCTTAAAATTATGCACATATTTAAGAGTTTTGCTGAATCTGGTTTCATGAAAACCAGAGAAAAAGTTACTGAGAAATCAAAAAGAAACAAACTGTGAAATCCACATTAAAAAATAAATGAGTTCCTGGTTATTTCTTTATGCTCTGAGCATAAAGGTTGGATTACTGCCTGGTCTCTCTTTGGTTAAATATAAAAATAAAAACTTCTTTTTAATACAATGAATATATTGTAACACAGCAATTACCTCTGGCGAAAGATAATTAATTCAGTGAGTGATACCATTAATACTAAAGTAATTATTGACACAGGGTTGCAGCCTTAACTGTTAAGGGGACTCACAGTCCTCTATGCCTACTTGCACTTGCACTTCCAAAACAGATTGTGTAATTAGCTGGGAGAGGGTTAATCTTTCCAATATTACTATCTCTATGGTAACAGGACCACAGAGATAGAAGGAGCTGTGGAAATCATGAAAGCAGCCAAGAAGGCGGTGCTCTCCATTACTCCTCACTCTATGATACTGCTACCATAGAGAAAGAGAAGACACAGAGACACCATCTCATAAGTATACCAAAAATCATCTGGAACACTGTCAGCATGCCACGGGTTCCTTGTTATCTCTGCCCATCACCTGGAGCCTATGGACCACATTTTGCATACCACTGTTTAAAACTATTCTCTACCAACAAGACAAGGAAAAAAGAACATCTTTATGTAATCATTGAATTATACTCCAAAAAATCCTGAAATTTATCACACTGCTCCTTATTTTTCAGCCTCTGGTCATCATTTTCACACCTTTCCTAATCAATTTAAAACTGTGGAGTAGTACCAAGTTTACTGCTAGAGGCATGTTGTTCTGGAGCAATGCAAACAAATGGATGAAATATTCTGAAACATATCCAGAAAACTGAAAAAATAGGCTTTATATTAATTTGCAAAATAAATAAAAACCGTAAATAAATAATATTCTTAAAATAAATGCAAAAATACAAAAACCCTACATTTAAATCTCAATATTTTACAAAGAAGATTAATGGGGAGAGTGAAGGATTAACTCTCAAATTCTATTCCTACTCTGCCCTTTTCTGATGATCTTGGGCAATTCACTTAATCTTTCTATGCTTTGTTTTACCCATCAGTAAAATAGGTATAATAAAATAATACTTTGCACTTCACAGAGATATTGTGAGACTTAATAAAAGTTGATGCATGCTGTGAGGGCCTACAGGCTGCACACCAGAAATGAGAAATTGGAGACGCAATTGAACAACCTAAATTAAGCGAGGCTTGGAGGAAACAGATTAGATAACAAAAAGCGAATAAGTAAATGCTAGACAGAGTTTACGTTAGAGGTGCCCAATCCTGCATTAATTTCAGTGGCATTCCAGTCAGATGCAGGGATTCACCCATACAGAATTCAAGGCTTATGTTCAACTTTATTCATGTGAGTCATTCTATTGATGAGACTACTCATGGGGAAAGTTAAGCACATGCATAAATGTCTACAGGATCAGGGCCTAAAGTTGGTATTATATCTAAAGAAGTTATTGTGTCACTGACAATTATTTTTGCAAAGCCATGGACAACTGAGGAGGTAATAAAAGACTGAGAAAAACAATTACGATATCTATTTTCAAAAAAGGAAAGAAGAATAGTCCTGGTGATTACCATTCTGTACATCTGTGGTGCCCAAACTTTTCCTGTCATGTCCCCCCTTACCAGTAATGGAATGAGTCTGTGCTCCCCCTCCATTACTGCACAGTTGGCTCAACAGAGGAGCTTGGGCTGAAGGCAGAGCTGGGGGCAGAACTGGGGATGGGGGAGAAGCTGGGGCTAGAGGCAGAGCTGGCATGGGGATGGAGAAGGAATGAGGACAGAACTAGGCTGGAGCCAGGACTGGGCTGGGGGTGGAGCGGAGCTGGGGCTGGGCCAGAGCTGGGCAGGGGGCAGAGCGGAACTGGGTTGCACTCCCTCCCTGCCCCCTGTGGGGGCTGGCCTGGGGCATGCCCCACAGTTTGGAGACCACTGCAGGGGTGCCAGAACAGGGGAGGGCCAGGAGGCCATGGCCCCATCACTTCTAAAAGTGGGAGGGCTATGCCCTCCCACTATTTACCAGCCGTGAGGGTGAGCGATGGGGAGATGGGGCGGAGAGCAGCGAGCGGGGGGCACGGTTTTGAGGGGAAGAGGCGACACAGGAGTGGGGCCTCGGGGGAAAGGGTTGGCACAGGGGCTGGACCACTGCTATACATCTAAGTTCTATCACTGCTAAAATAAAACATCCAGTGAAAGAACTGAAGTCATGGAGAGTAAACTACTTTCTCACCGTTAAATGTTTTCTCTTCAGTTCAGGGTTGAAGCTCATTGGCAGGGCACTGTGGAGAAGTCTGCTGTACCACTGCCCCCTGAAAGTAATCTATGGATAAATATAGGGCTTCAGTTTCAACAAATGCCAAACTGGCACCTTTCAGGAGTGCTACATTAATAACAAAAACATTAAAACAGCAAGTGTATTGATATTTAAAAACTAGCAACATTTGGACAGGTTTATCAATATGCTACTGTAGAATCAAAGTTCAGTAACATCTCACTTCTTTACTTAGCCCCAACAAAGGAGGATGTGCTTCATTACTCTTTGGGGGCCCAGTAGCTATTTCAGGATCAATGTCAGGGGTTTAGAATGAAATACTCGGCTCTCTATGAGCTGAGGGCTGAAAACATTATCTACTATCCCAGCCTTTCTTGCCCATATGGCTCGTACTTATCTTAAGAGAATCATGACAGTAGGAAGACTAAAAAATGAAATTGAGGGTTGGCTATTCAGAGTTCAGAGGCGAGGCAAGGTATAAATGTGCTACAATTTTTTAAACAAAATATTTGTAAGAAGGTCTACAAAACAGATGTACTTCTCAGTCCTGCAAACACTTTTTACTTGGTGTATTGTGTATTATCATGAGAAGTTCCATTGATTATGTCTACACTGGTGAATTTAGGACCTTTAATTCACCAACATTGCAACACTACCAGTAAACAAGGGTAGATGTGGTATAACAAAGTCTTATCTACACTACAGCCTCTATCACTGCTATCACAAGTGAAGCTGCAACTGTGCTGAGTTATGGGTCCTAAATTTGCCAAGGTAAGCTGAAGACTGGATGGCTATGGTAGGAAGTAGAGGCTGGGTGGTAAGAGGACCTCTGCCAAGCCTCACACAGTAAATCCAGAACCCCCCTAGCCCTCCATACCCAAACCCCACCCCACTGAACCTCAACCCCTGCAACTGGAGCCCCCCTGCACCCATACCCCCTGCCTCCGGACCCCCATCCCTGCACCCAGACCACCTCCCCACTGAGCTCCCTGCACTCAAACCCCCACCCTGATGCCCCACCCTGAGCCCCCACATTCAGACCCCCAACTAGCTGCACCCAGACCCCCACCCCACCAAGCCCACTCCCCCAGCACCCAGACCCCTCTGCTGAGCCCCAACCACCATCACCTGGAAGCCCCTGCAGAGTCCCATTGCCTCTGCACCTGGAACCCGCCCACCAACGAGCCTCTGTGCATCCAGACCCACCCACACACATAGACCCCCCCACTGAGCTGCCTGCACCCAGACTGTCCCACACAGAATCCTCTCTCCTCACATTTGGATTCCTCCACACTTGGATCCTGCCTGGTTGAGCATGCCTTCCCCACACCTGGTATGCCTGGTGCAGTGGGGCAGCCCAGGGTGTTTCTAGGGCAGGACCAGGCCTTGTGCTGTGTCAGGGTCAGGTGCAGCCTCACCACTGAGTCCATGTCCCAGGTATGTGGGGGCTGCAGGGTGATCTCCCACTTTCGTGCGGCCAATGGCCTGTGCTCCCCACTGTCATGCTGAAGCCTCTGCATTTATTTATTGACAAATAAAACTTGCATAATTTTGCAGAATTTTTAATTTTTTGGCATAGATTGACATCAAGAGTAGATGAGATAGAGAGACAAGCTGGGCAAGGCAGGGCTCAAATTGGGCAGCGGGGAATCCCCCAAGCTCCACCCACAACCCAAGTTCTGCCCATTTGGGATACCAAAATGAGATGCCACTCACAATACATTGTGCAGGTGTTCAAATCTGATCATACGTGTTCTGCTGAGCTCCTCAGGCTTGGCACCCCTTAGTGGGATTTGGATACACCCACTGGATTATTAAGATGCAAGAACTATAGACAAGTGTCTAAGGCCCTGGCTCCAAGTATTATGTGATAATGACAGAATCTCAACGTTCATTACAGACAAAAGTGTCTAACCTTCATGGTTGTGAAAAAAATCTTAAAAACGTGAACCAAGGGTAATTGATGCAATAATGTGCATCTGAGTCTGCAGACAGCATCCAGCAAAGGTAGCCATTATAGTCAGAGAGGAAGCTGCTTGGCCTGACATTCATCACCGATAGCAGACCAAGCCCCTGCTGATCTTGGGGGACCTGGCCTGCTCAAGGTAAGGATTTGGGGATTGGCTGTCCCTTGGCAGCTCAGAGACCCCCCTAGGCTCTGTTCTTCCCTTTAACCTTTAGCTTCACTGGTCAAATTGAGGCGAGGAGGGTGGTGATACTCTCCCAAATGACTCCCAATTGTGACACCAGAATGGACATCACTCACTGTAAATTGCATACATCTTCATAATATGATCATCCCTTTCCTTTCTTATACGCTGTGATCAGCAGTTAAGTAGTTAACAATTTTGATATTTAAATAATTGTAATTGTACAATATTTGACTCGATACCCCATTGAGATCAATGGAAGTAATTAAGAAATCAAGACATCTTCCACTGGTTTCTATTTGTGCAGATCTGTTCATTTATAAGTAATAATGAGAATAACTTTTTTTAAATGTAAGTTTCACTAGTTATCTTAGATTTGAGATCTAGTGAGATACTAGTGAATGACTGTATTTCTAAGTGTCTTGGAGATCTAAATGCTTGTTAGAGAGAGCCAAAAAAAGCCAAAGAGAGCAAAATTTCAGGAAGTGTTTATTTTTTTAAAGTTTCAAATGGAAGTTTCTGCCTTTATATGAAATAATCTAAAAAATTCAAGTAGGATGTTAGTCTATGGCCCTGATCTTGCAAAACCTTATATAGAAAGTATATGATTATTAAAGTCAATGGGACTACTCACAGTGCATAAAGTTACCTATGTGCCTAAAGTCTTTACAGAATAGAGGCCTAAGCATGTTAAGTAAGGAGTCTAAATCTGAGGGCAATGATTAGACATTAGGGGATACAAAATCTCACTTTAGCTACAATCTTGGTGAAACCTTAACTATAAAGTTATGATTGACAACACCATAATTCACACTACAGACCAGAGCAATTACAACCTGTTGTGTAGGCTGTCAGATCTCCATGGTACACCTTTTCCTTATATACTGTTTTTGCATTATAGTTAAAAAATGGTTATTAATAGAAAAATGATGTCTAGGATGTTTTGACTATGAATCATTGTGTATAAACTAAACACATACAAATGGTATAGACAGTACTATAGTTTTTCTTTCACTGCTCTCATTGAAACTGAAATTTTTGATAAAGTATCAGTTCAAAGGTCATTTTTTTTGAAAGTTTGATTTTCACTAATCTTTTAGTAAATTAAGGGTGAAAATATATATGTATCTTTACTGCTATAGTGATTAATTATTTATTTTTGAACACAATTTAAAATAGCTAAACTTTACAAGTTGAAGTTTTTCAGATGGCTAGTGCTTATTGTGAACTTGTTTCAAAGATAATTAGAGGGAAAGGATATAAACATTTAAAAATCACTTTTGCAATGTACTATATAACATTTCCACTAAGTTTGAAGGACAATGTAATAAATTAAACACAGAATATCAATGTATGCAATGTTGTTGAAGTCATGTTGGTCCCAGGATATCAGAGAGACAACATAGGTGAGGTAGTAATATCTTTTATTGGGCCAACTTCTGTTGGTGAAAGAGACAAGCTTTCGAGCTTACAGAGAGCTCTTCTTCAGGTCTCTCTACATAATGGCAATGTTAGTTATGTGATTATTTGTGTTATTTTTGCACTGCCATTTCACTGTGAAGTTCCAGAACTGCACAGTTTTGACCACACAGCTCTAGAAGTGTGCAGTGAAATCAGTAGAAATATTAGGCCCTCAGCTTACAAACCTTTATATCTGTGAATAGTTTTGCTGAGCTTAATGGACTCACTCACATACATGAAGGGAAAAATTTTCAAAGATTATAAAAGTCAATGGGAGTATGGCACCTAACTCCCATTTGTGCCTTTGAAAATCTGTCCCAAAGTTAGGTATGTAAACAAGTGTTTGCAGGATCAGGGCCTTGCTTATTTAATCTTTTTTCTTAAGGAAAGAAAAGAAGCTACATAAAATATCTTACAATACTTTTCCATTAAAGTTATAATTTTAGGCCCAGCCCCTGACCCTGCAAGCTACTCTGCACTAGTGCAGTGGATGGGTTCTTTGCAAGCACAGGGGTCCCTCACAGGAGAGGGTCCTTAAACAGTTAAAAGCCAAGTGTAGTCTAGTAGTCTGAACAGGGGACTAAAAGTCAAGCAGGCCTGACTTCTTATCCTTCCTCCACAGCCCTGAGCAAGTCACAACCTCCATCTCAGTTTCCCCATCTGTAAAATGGGGATAGTGATACACCAAACTAGCAGGTGGGATACCATGTTTAGTCAATGTTTATTAAGTGGCTCGATGACGAAAGAGTCTATATACATTGCTAAGCCTTGTTAAATGCCAAAGCTAACACTTTCAAAGGAAATCTTAATTTGCCTACATTGAAGGTAGGCAGTCTGTCCAGTGGCTAGTTATACACTCTGGGCCCAACGGTGCCCTCAGACCGGCCCACACAGCTGCAGTCCACTTCAGGCAGAGCTGCCTAGCTGTGTCTGAGGGCAGAATTGGGCCAAATACAGCGCTGAAGTAAACTGACTTGTGGGAGCTGCTGCGGCCAAGGCAGAATCGGGCCCCACAGGCTACAGCTGTGCCATGGGGGCGAGTTACTCTGAGCGCCTCAAACTTCTGCGTGGCCTGGCTCGAAGGGGGGGGGTCGGGCTGTAACGCGAGCGCTGCACTGGCAATGGGCTTGGGGATGGACTGGTTTATTATCGGGTGCGCTTAACTTTCTCGATGTTGCTCTCCCCCCCCCCTCCTCTGAGTCTCCCTCCCCCGCCCGCCTCTCACACACACACACACCCCCCTTTTACCTTGACAAGTCCATGGGGCTGATGGTGAATGACTGTCTCTCTCCCCAGAGTCTGGGGCTCTGGGTGACA